ACACAAGAATAAGTCACTGGAGCGCGCTAGAACTTGGAGCGTAGAAGTAGATAGTTTATTTTCGGCTTGCGTGCCATGCTTATGCATTTACATTATTGAGGATATTAGTTAGTTAGCCTGTGCACCTGAGTTCTCTAGCTCAGGTGTGGCATAGCACCCCGTACTCTTGTGTTATGTTTTGGGATTTAATGAGATTTCACCTTTATTTAATAAGTTTTAAATGTCTTGAAAATCTGGGGTGTTATAGGATTAGAGTTCGTTATGCTCAATATATCCGTTTGCTTAATTCTTGTCAATTCTTGTTTTGAACTCTTTTTGCCTTGAAATCTTGTGGAATCTTTTGGAGTTTTTGACCAAAAGAAATTGTTCTTGACACTCTTTGTCATATTGTTGTTCTTTTTACCGTTATACGATTAGTGGTATGGGACACTAGTCACCAAGGAATTGCAGTGGTCCTCGTGGTGGCCATGACGTGATTATGGAGTTGTGGCGTTTGTGTAAGGTTCACGTATTTCTTGGGTGGCATGTGTTGCCGTGTGTGTGAAAGGTACCCCCGTGTACTATGAAATCGGTGGTCGTTGGTGGGGGACGACGGTCCCAGGAGGGAAAAGTTTGGTCTAAGAAGTACAGGGGTCCTGGAGGTAATGGTTGGAAGAAGATACATGGTTGGTGGTAGCCATAAGGTTGGAACCGGGCATAAGGAAGGCATATCAACTCGTGATGGGTGATGTCACGAGGGCTTGAGTAGCTGTTGTTGTGAGTTCTCTTCTTGTGACGTGTGTAGTCACAAGGGCATGTGTTGCGTTGGCATGTGTTTTCGTTTGTCGTGTCTTATTCCTTTGAGTTATGCATGTCGGGTGTTGGTCTATTGTGTGATGATAGACCATACCTTGAGACTTCTTGTGAGTCATTGTTGTTCCTTGTTGTCTTGGGATGTGTTCCCGTGTTCTTGTTGAGAGTGTTCAGTATTGTGTTGACTATTACTCTTGGGTTTTGACTTATATATATGCAGGGTTGCAAAAATCCCGCCTAGGCACCGATTAGCCTAGGCGCTAGGCGCCCCTAGGCCGTGGCGATTTCCCCCCTAGGCTCCCGCCTAGGAAATCGGCTGCCTAGGCGCCCGCCTAGCGCCTAATTCAGTCGCCTAGCGCCTAACTCGGCCGATTACGCCGAGTTAACTCGTCAATTTCTATCGAGTTAACCCGGCCGACTCGACCTTGCTAATTTTTTTCATTTGTATGACACGCACACACACACACACACACACACACACACACACACGTATATATATATATATATATATATATATATATATATATATATATATATATATATATATATATATATATATAGGGTCCGGATCAGGTGAGGACCTAATCTTAGGTGAGGACGTGATGACTAATCTAGACCATTAAATAAGAATGATGTATGATTGTGATTAAAAGAAACAAATCATACGGATTAAGAAAACAAATCCCTTTAAAATATTAAAATATATAAATTTACGGTAAATCAGTCTTATTAAAAGATGTGCATTCCTATACAAAATGTTGTGCATTCCTATAATGAGTGTTGTGCATCAATAACTTCATTGTTGTGCATTCAAACCCCGCCAAAAAATCATACAGTGAACATCCAATGTTCTACGATGCATTGAACTATGTGCTATAATGCACAACTCCCTAGCCTATAGTGCACAACTTACAACACTAGGTTGCACAATCAGCACACACGAATGCACAATCGTACTACCCAGGCATTTATACATATAAACGACAATCCAAATATAGACACTATTATACTCAAAAGAACAAGCGAAAAAAAATAAAAAATAATGATTAGTTTGCATGGGCGAACACTCAATCAATGATGAAGAAATTGCGGCTCCAAATTGCAACGGTGATGATCAAAGAAAATAGGAAACCAATTTGGCCAAGGATTATACATGCGTTCACACTTAAAAAAAATAGAAAAAGACACTATTATCCCACTTTAACAAAAAAGATCAATCCATGTCATCTCAAGAACACAAATCTGGACCATCCAAATAAAAAAACAAACGCACAAGATTAGTCCTCATGTCCTCACCTAAGATTAGGTCCTCACCTGATCCGGATTCTATATATATATATATATATATATATATATATATATATATATATATATATATATATATATATGTATGTATGTATGTATGTATGTATGTATGTATGTATGTATGTATGTACGTACGTATGTATGTATGTATAATATGACATATATACACACGTGCACTGTTTTTCATTTTGTTCAGTTAGCCGTCTAGGCGACCGCCTTGGCCGCTTAGGCCCCGCTTAGGCCGTCTAGGCGCTAGGCGCTACTCTACCGCCCGACTAGCGCCTAGCGCCTATTGCAACCATGTATATATGTATTCTGTTTCAAAAATGGCTTTATAAACTTATATGTTATCTACGTATGATATTTCACATGTATTGGTGGGTTACCAGCATTATTCGCTGACCGGGCGTCGTCCCATGTTTTATATGCTTCTTTCAGGTGATGCTTAGACGAGTGCACGGTCTAGTGCCTGCTAGCATAGTTTCCCCTTTGTGTTTTGTGGCCTGTGAGCCAATATAGATGTAGAACTCTGTTGGATGGTTATAGATTTAAACATTGCAGATTTAGCCTGTGCGTTCACCCTTGGGTGCGCGTGGCATAGCACCCCATTTCCTCGTTTTATATTTATCTTATCTTTCAGTCTTCCGCTGTGTTTATTGTTTTGGTTTAAGTCATCTGCATGTTTTAAGGCTTTAAATAGCTGGGTTTTAGGGGGTATTACAGTGGGTGTTCCAGTCATATGACTGGGAATGTCAAGTGCCTCATGGCTGTTCAACCTAGCAGTGGGTCAGTAACATATGGAGACGGACAAAAAGGAAAGATAGTTGGAAAAGGTACTCTAAACGTACCAGGATTGCCTCATCTGGAAGAAGTTCTCCTAGTCAGTGGTCTGAAGGCAAATGTTTTTAGCATCAGTCAGCTGTGTGATCAAAATTGGTATGTGTGCTTCAATCGTGAGTGCTGCAGAGTCCGTGATAAAGCAGACCAAGTGGTAATGGAAGGAACACGATCCTCTGACAATTGTTATGTTCTGACTAATGAAACAGCATGTCTAATATCTAAACAGACGAATTAAAACTGTGGCATCGACGATTGGGTCACATAAACTTCAGAGATATGGATAAAATGATCAAATTAGATGCTGTTCGTGGGATACCTAAGCTCAAAATAGAACAGGAAGGAGTTTGTGGTGCAAGTGCCATTGGAAAGCAAATAAGGGCTCCTCACAAAGCAGTAAAAGTGATCACTACTGAGAGATGCTAGAACTGGCCCATATAGACCTCATGGGACCAACTCAGACTGAAAGCATTGGCGGGAAGAAATACATCTTTGTGTGTGTAGATGACATCTCTCGGTTCAGCTGGGTATACTTTTTGAGAGAAAAAGTTGAGGCATTCAATGCTTTCAAGACTCTATGCATAAGAGTACCAAAAGAAAAGGACGAGCCCATCATAAAAATTCAAAGACTGAGAAGTGATCATGGGAAAGAGTTTGAAAATTCCTTATACTCAGATTTCTGCTCTGTAAATGGAATAGCTCATGAGTTCTCGGCTCCCAGAACAGCACAAAAGAATGGTGTGGTAGAAAGAAAGAATCGGACCTTACAGGAAATAACCAGAGTGATGTTACACGCATCGCATCTACCGCAGCATTTCTGGGCTGAAGCAGTGCACACAACATGTCATACAGTGAATAGAGTTTATCTCAGACCAGGTACGACTAAGACACCATATGAGATATGGAAAGGGAAGAAGCCGAATCTGAAGTACTTCCATGTGTTTGGCACAAGATGCTATGTTCTAAGGGAAAAGTTTGAACCCAAGAGTGATGAGGGCATCTTTCTTGGATACTCTCAAAACAGCCGAGCTTATAGAGTTTACAACAAACGAACTCAATCAGTCATGGAATTAGTGAATGTTGTTATCGATGATAACCCATAAGAATCAGATGAAACATCGATGATTGATCCAAGACAGACCTTCCTATTAGTGAGCCATTAGAAACAACTGAAAAAAACCAAACTGCCTGACACACATGATTCATCAGAAGAAGATAAAGAAAGCCCAGAACAGGAGAACTCTCTCTCGGATGGTGATGGTAAGAATAAGCCCACCAGAACATAGAAAAATCATCCACCAGACAACATAATTGGTAATCCATCAGATGAAATGAACACTAGAAGTCGGATGAGGAGCAATCTGATAGAAATATCCGGGTTTGCCTGCTACACCTCAAAAATAGAACCAAAAAATGTGAAGGAAGACTTGCAGGATGATCTATGGATTAAGGCTATGCAGGAGGAGCTACATCAGTTTGACCGCAATCATGTGTGGGATCTGGTACCAAGGCCTGACCGTGTTAACATAATCGGAACAAAGTGGATCTTCAAAAATAAAACTGATGAAGCTCGAAATATTGCAAGAAACAAAGCTCGGTTGGTTGCTCAAGGATATACACAAATAGAGGGAATTGACTATGATGAAACGTTTTCCTCTGTTGCAAGACTGGAGTCAATCAGAATTTTGTTGGCAGTCGTGTGTATTCTGGGATTCACACTATTTCAGATGGATGTTAAGACAGCATTCTTGAATGGGTATCTGCATGAAGATATCTATGTGGCACAACCTAAAGGTTTTGAAGACCTAGTTCATCCGACGCGTGTCTACAAGCTCAGAAAAGCTCTCTATGGGCTTAAACAAGCTCCAAGGGCATGGTACGAACGTCTGACACTGTATCTATTACATCATGGGTATAACCGAGGGAGTGTTGATAAGACCTTGTTTGTTAAAACCACTGGAAGTCATGTTACTATAGCTCAGATTTACGTAGATGATATTGTCTTCGGATCTACTCTGCAGAAATATATTGATGACTTAGTGAAGGTTATGAAGGAATAATTTGAAATGTCTATGGTGGGTCAACTGACTTATTTCTTAGGACTTCAAGTTAAACAGAGTACTGAAGGCTATAATATCTCACAAGAAAAATATGCCAAGAATTTGGTCAAAAAGTTTGATCTGGAGTCATGTAAAACTCCGAGAACTCCTATCTCCACTTCTACAAAGGTGTCAAAAGATGATACTGGGGCATCAGTTGATAACACAGTCTATCGAAGCCTAATTGGAATTCTGCTATATTTGACCGCAAGTCAACCAGATATTATGTTCAGTGTTGGGATGTGTGCAAGATATCAATCTGATCCCAAAGAGTCACATTTGATAGCTGCTAAACGGATCTTGAAATACATCAAGGGAACAATTCAGTATGGGTTATGGTATTCCAAGGACAATGAACTCAGCCTGAGTGCATATTGTGATGCAGATTGGGCAGGAAATATTGATGACAAAAAGAGAACATCAGGTGAATGCTTCTTTGTTGGAAAGAATTTAGTCTCATGGCTAAGCAAGAAGCATAATTCAATCTCTCTAAGTACTGCAGAGGCAGAATATATAGTAGCTGGAGGATGTTGCACTCAGTTGGTCTGGATGAAGCAAATGCTTCTAGATTATGGTCTCACACAAAGGACTATGACACTCTACTGTGACAATGTCAGTGCAATAAATATTTCAAAGAACCCAGTTCAACACTCCAGAACGAAGCATATTGATATAAGGCATCACTATATCAGAGACTTGGTAGAATCAAAGGAGATAGAATTGGAAATATTCAAACAGATAAGCAATTGGCTGACATACTGACTAAGCCTCTGGACGCAAATCGGTTTGAGATTCTCATATCTGCTCTGGGAATCTGCAGGATTGATCAATAAGGCAGGATGATAACATAGAAGGAGAGTGTATGGTAGTCTCAATCACGGGTCAAAATTACATATTTGACTTCCTTTTTAATCTCTCTTCTGTTTATGTTAAGATATAATCTTAACCTTGGTTACCAAAATTAATTCGCCTCTTTCAAAATTCAAATCATCCGTTTTATCCCAAAAAAGGAGCTATACCGTTGCGTCAATCACATCAGTTGCATGCATTCTGACAACTGCATTAAATAGTGTTCATCACCCTTGGGATTATATATTTGATCGGGACTCTCTTTACTTTGGAGGAAAAGTTCTAAATACTAGTTATCTCTCTTTATTTGCTTACTGATTCTACACCTAGGGTTTCTCTCTTCTTTTTCCCAAATCGCACAACAATGGCGGATGCAGTGAGAAATATTATCATCAAGCTGGGAAGGAAAATCCATTCACCAGAAACAGCCATGAAGCATGTAAAGACTCTTCTCCAACTCGCTATGAAAAAGAAGTTGAAGCTTGACTCTGTTCTCCACGACGAAATCATAGTCACAGTGCTCTCAGACTACCCGGAGTTCTATGCGGACGGGTCCGACCATGATACGAGTGATATTTTGGTGTTGACCTCCGAAGCGAGTGATGATGTTAGCCCTGCGTACATTCCTGAGCCTGAAGATGGACAGGAAGAGACCCAACATCGTATCGAGATTCTTCGTAACAGGTTTAATACTTCTGAAACCCCTATTGAGATTTCTCCTGATAAGCCCGATGATTTAATTTCTGACAATATTGAATCTGCTCTGCCTGTTGCACAATCTGATAATGAGAATGTTTTACTGTCTATGAAATCCTCTGCGTCTGATTGCAACACGCGCTTTGGTCCAAAGGGTGGCAACTATCGAGGCCATGTTGGGCACTCACGGAGCATCCAGCCCCCTACCCGCTACCCGAAGAACACCGCCACGCAGCGGGCAGCTGCCTGCCCACCGGCAACCCGCTGCCCGGACAGTGTTCTCCGACGGGCAGCCGGCGGGTGACCCCCACCCACCGGCCACCCGCTGATCCGTACCCCACCCCGGGTCTTTGGCTTACCCGTTTGTTGTTCCCCACTCCCCCATGGTGTCCCAACGGACCCCGTTTGTCGTGCTAGAGTCTAGTTTGATATTTCGGGTACCACTCGTATGGTAAAAGAGTCTTAGGAATTGCATGCTAGTTGAATTGGTAACCCGTTAACCTATGTGGAAGTTGTATGAACTCCTTAGGACTATTCTTAGTATGTGAATAATCACACGTAAGTTTATTTATATGTCTTTCCCTCCCAATATGCTACTACGTGCTCCTATGTGTTATGTGATGCATGACCCCCGATTTTGGTTAAGATCAAATGGGGTGTTCCCGGGCTAAGGTTCGGAAGACGGCTGAAGGCCGAATGGATTGTTCCCGGGCTAAGGTTCGGAAGTTGGATGAAGGCCGAATGGATTGTTCCTGAGCTGAGGTTCAGAAATTGGCTAAGGCCGAATTGATTCACTTCTTGGGCTGCGGTCCATATGGGCCTCGGTGCTATGACCCACCGACCTGGACGCGCCAGGCGGTGTGTAGGGCCAATAATCCGAGGAAGGCTGTAGTCCACCGTCCGGAGTAATCAGGCCGTGTGTATGGCTAGGGCTGGCTACGATCCACCGAGTGATGGGACAGCAGTGTGTAGGGTCGTAGTCTCCGAGGATCTTCGCCCACCTACTGAGTCCCTCAGCGGTGTATAGGGCTTGATCCGCTATGGTCCACCGACTGTACGCATCAACGGTGTGTAGGGTCGTAAGTCCCCCCTTGTAAAGGGGATCACTGTAATACCCCGTGTTACGGCCTTCAATCCCGGATTAATTATTTAATTAATCCCGTTAATAATAATTAAATATTATTTAATTCGGTTAGGTTTCATTTAATTAATTAATAAGGTCCACCATGAACCGTGGACCCTTGCCTAAATTAGAGTCCTAAGCCTATTAGGAAATAAAGAAAGTAAACCCTTTACTATTCAGATTCTAATTAGGAATTCTAGACCTAGTTATCTATTAGGAATAAAGGAAGTAGGCCTTTTACTATCCAGACTACGATTAGGATTCCCTTTTATTAATTAATATGGCCCACCATAGTCCACGGGCCCTTATCCCTAAACCCAATCCTTAGTTCCAAAAGAAATAGAACTAGCAAGCCTATAATATTAGTTCCTAAGTAAGACTCCTAAATATATAAATACGGGGCTTAAGAGGCACCTAGAAACCCCCCACCACAATAAACGTTCCACCACCCCAAAGAGCTCCAAGAATCCCCTTAGAAGAAATCAAGAAAGCAAGAAAGCTTAAAGAAAGACCCTTCATAGCCAAGGAATTAAGTAAGACTAAGAGGTAACCCATGTCTCAACAAAACCTATTTTCATAGCTATGATTTGCCCCGTAGGATTTCCCCATATTATTGTGTATTGATGATTTGTGATGTTATTATTGGTGATTGATGGGATAATTCCATGGGTGATCTTGATATCGGGAGATTGTTGATAACTATGGTGTTCTTAACGATTATGTGGAGTTCTTGATGATTATATGGTGTTCTTGATAATTGTATGGAGTTCTTAATGCTTATGTGTTATTTGTACCGAATCTTGTAATTAGAAGACGTACCGTATTCTTGCTGATGTAAAAGTAATTAGAACCCTAGGTTGATGTTCTTGTTGGCGTTCTTGATGCTTGTGTGATGTTCTTGATGCTTATGTGATATTCTTACCGAATCTTGTAATTAGAAGACGAATCGTATTCTTGTTGGCATAAAAGTGATTAGAACCCTAGGTTGTATCGTATGATATTATTCTTGGTGTATTGGGTGGGGAAATCGCATGTTTGGGTGTCAATTATGTTTAGAAAAGCATGATAGGTTATGTGCCGTACGTTTCTCGTATTTAATCCATTAATTGTCTACGTGTTGATCGTTAATTGCGTTGTAAAGTGTCTAAGCATGGTTTCAGGTTCCACAATGGTTCCCGGGGCGTTTTGTGTATAAAGAGTCAGTGGGGGGTAGGTGGGGGGGGGTAGGGGACCCGCCACCTACCCGCGGCCAGAAGGGGCGTCTTCGGCAGCGGCCAGCCGGCGGGCGGGAAGCTGCCCGCCCGCCGGCGACCCGCTGCCCAGAACAGTGTTTACCGGCGGGTGGTCCCCCCACCCACCGGCTACCCGCTGGAAGTCTCCCCCATTCGGGACCCCGGCTTCCCCGTTTGATGTAGCCCCGATCCCCGTGGTGTCCCAACGGACTCCGTTCATCGTGCCGTGTCTAGTTTGATGTTTCGGGTACCGTTCGTAGGTTAATGAGTCTTATATATTGCATGCTAGTTGAATTGGTATCCCGTTGACCTAGGTGGAAGAAGTATGAACCCCTTAGGACCATTCTTAGTATGTGAAGGATCACGCATAGGTTTCGTTATACGCTTTCTCCCCCTTCCCAATGTGTTAATGTGGGTTGCATGTGCTTGCTATGTGTTATGTGTGCATGATACCCCAATTCGGTTGCGATCGGATTGGTTATTCCTGAGCTGCGGTTCAGAAGCTGACTGCGGTCAGATTTACACTCTTGGGCTGCGGTCCACCGTTTGGTTGCGATCAAACGTTTCTACATGAGCTGCGGTTCATACTTTCCTGGCTGCGGTCAGATGACAAACTCTTGGGCTGCGGTCCACTATTTGGTTGCGATCAAACATTATGATGAGCTGCGGTTCATCGGTCGGTTGCGATCGACCCCTATATGCGCTGACCCTCATGTATGGGCATGCGATTGGTCCTGTGGCGCCAACAAAGTGTGCTATGTGATGAGATATGGATGAGTTGTTGTTATGAGTATCTTGGGGTTGAGACTATGGGATTTATACCGGGGATCGTATATTTTGGATTATGATTATTAGTTGTGCTTATCTTATCTGTCTTGCCTGTTGTAAACTGTATATGCTTGGTATAACTGCTGTCTGTGCTGAGCCCTCTCTGTTGAGTCTATCCCTGTTTTAAAAGCTAGAGTTCGTAGGATATATCTTCATGCTCAAAATGGTTTTCGTATATCTATATATACCTCTATATATATATTGTATTTCAATGCGTTGGGGTGGGTTACCAGCATCTCTCGCTGAACAGATATATTTGGCTTTCAGGCACAGACAAGTAGATCACCGGAGCGCGCTAGAAGCTTGGTCGTAGCTTAGATAGTTTTTCCCTTTCGGCCTGCGTGCCATGATTTAGCATTGTTACCGTTTGAGGATATTAGTTAGTTAGCCTGTGCACCTGAGTTCTCTAGCTCAGGTGTGGCATAGCACCCCGCACTCTTGAATTATGTTTTGGGATTTAATAAGATTTCACCTTTATTTTATAAGTTTTAAATATCTTGAAAATCTGGGGTGTTACAGTTGGTATCAGAGCCTAAGTTTGACCCTAGGATAAGACTCTTAAGACCGGACTTTAGGACATTAGGCTTGAACTCTAGGTATTAAGGAGCATAGGATTCAGGAATCTTAGGACGCGCGGTGAGATTGTGAAACCTACACATAACCCCCCCTCACTTTATCCCTCTCTAAAAGAACTCCCCCTACGCTTACCACACCAAGGTAAGGGTGCAGCACACTGACTCATCATTACAATAAATATTGACCCTGAAAACCAGCAGCATGGCGCCAATAAGAAGACAGTCAAGGATCCCACACTCCTCGAAGAATGAATCCGAACCTTCAACAAAATCCTCGGATTAGGAGAATGCCAAGAGGAACGCCACGTAGAGATAGCCTCGTTCTACTTCAAGACACGAGGTTGACCTTTGATAGGTCCAGAAGGAACTTATGGGCAACAACCGGGGGTTCAACTAAGAGTACCTAGGGGCACGGCTACAAGGACGACTCCACCCCGCACCCGCCATACTCATGGACCTCATGAACCGAGTATTCCGACCCCACCTGGATGACTTCATCATTGTATTCACCGACGACATCCTAGGCTACT